TGTCATTATATATCCACCATCAGCATCGTGTATAAAAGGGCATCACTGAGTGAGGATGCCTCATTCGAGAAGATGGCTCGCTGAGGAAGATCTGGCTCGACAGGAAGGCGAAGACGCAACGTCGAGGCGAACAACAAGCATGGACCATCGACTCGGATCACCGGCTCTGAGGAAGACGAAGACGTCGAAACGTTAGCCGAAAATAAATATATTTATCAACCTCGTGCAAGCTTATCAAGAAAGAATACATGTTGCTGAGATATTTGCAAAACTGTGGAGCGCAGGTGTCTATGGTGGGGAACGAACGCGCCATTGTCCTTCCCGCGGAGTAACGCGTTCACCACCACACCATGCGGGCCCTTCGTTTCGCCTTTCTCTCAGCTATTTCTATTGATCTTTGCCGCAGCAATCACCCGTCAGCGGGATTGATCTGGGGCGCCCAAATCGGCATAGAACCCAGTTAAGCTGCGGTTGTAGTTGAAATCACAATGTTATACCTTTTTATTTTCTGCCTATTATAATTTCGCGGCAGGGTCAATCCCGCGGACGGGTGATTGCTGCGGCAAAGATCAATAGAAATAGCTGAGAGACAGGCGAAACGAAGGGCCCGCAAGGTGTGGTGGTGAATGCGTTACTCTCCGGAAAGGACAATAGCGCGTTCGCTCCCCACCGCATACACCTGCGATCCGGAGTTTTGCAAATATCAGCATTATATACGAGCCTGGCGGGCACAAAGTGGTCTACCCGTCTCGGTAATGTATTTCTCACTAAATGACTTACATGAGGTCAAGTATATTGTACCTGAACTCATGCACCTGCAACTATGTGGGGGTTGTTGACTTCCCACCTAATACCCCACGGCGTCAGCTAGTCCGCAATCGCCTTTATGATCGTTTGTGCAGTTCAGAAAACTGTATGATCTGTTCTAACAAAATCGACAGGGATTGCATGAGTTCAAGTGCGATATACTTGATCTCATGTAAAACATGCGGTGAGGAATATATTAGAGAAACGGATGGACCGCTTCCATGGAAGAGACGTGTTGGGGGTAGAAATCTAATAAGACGGTTTCCATTCTTATTTCGTTCTCTTAGTCAAGATTTTCTTACCCTGTATTTGTCTTCGTCGGTTGTTCCTTATCTAGCGATGATAACTCTAAGGATGGAGCTATAGAAAGACTTCTCGTTGTATATAACTTCCTCTAAATGGTTGGAGAACATGTTTAGTTCCCACTCATTCGCTCTTCAAGTTGGTGAGTAACAATTGACGTTAATGACTTTCTTTTGAAGATTAATTTGTAGAAGAACGATGACCAAGTGTGGAAATAGGATTTCGTGTGAGGTGACTAAATGAAAAATAGATGGGTGGATCACAAAGCAACATATCAGACATTTCATAACAGAAATTTCCACACAAGAATGATAACCTTTCATCTCAGAGTTTCCAAACGATTTGATCGTTGCTGGGAGGTGCTTTTGGGTGTGATGGGGTGCCATGTACAGCGGTGAGACCATCCAACCAGTAGTGCCTCCCAAGCTGAGAAGGAGTCTGGCGTTTCCATTAGGAAGCCCAGCCAAGAGTAAACCAATACCACACAAAAATACCACCATCGTCCTGGTATCAAACCTCTCAAATGATGAAACCGTTGATCCACAACGGCGGCGACTACCTGTGGTGGTGACGACCTGGGCAGACATTGGCTAGGCTGATCTCGGGACTCCAGAGAACCACATAAGCTAAATCAGAAAAACTCCGAAGAAACGAAAATTATGATGGGGCCCGTCTCGTGTTGCACATTCGCAGCAGTCCCATAGAGGTGATTGTAAGCATATTTGGTATATGGGATGATTTATGAGGAACAACCAATCTACCAAGTGGATGCGTTAATTTTCTCCTAGACATGTCTACTACGAATTTAGAGCGAGAAAGATCTAACGAGCCTGCGTATTGTTGGGCACTTTTAATCAGTTCCCACGACAATGTTCCCACAATTTCTTCTATAAAAGTCAGAATTGTGTTAGCTGTAATGCCTTCATTATTTTTGCCTTTTAATTTTTTCGTAGAGGTCTAGATTTTATATAGGCATGGTATCATTAGGGCGCGCGTGGCGCAGTGATCGGAGGCGCGCGGCAATACACCTGGAATCGATCACCGCGGCCGTGAACCACCAGGCCTTCCATCCCTCCGAGTTCGATAAATTGTTACCAGACTTGTCTGGGAGAACAGCAGCACTGGCTTAATACATCGCTATGCCATCGTGAGTCATTGAAAAGGCCAGATGTGCATTCAATCACCTCCAAACGATGTTTAATGAAGTCGAATTCATAGCGATTCTCCCTCAGGGATTGATCAACGTCGAGAGGGTTATCCTTTATCCTTTTATTGCATCATTCACTTGTCAGGACTGTCAAGAAATAATCTAAGATCGTTTATTGCATTGAAAATATGAACATTAAGAAATGAATTTCATTGAAGAATTATTGCTTATTCACAAAATGTAGCTACAAATGCTCGTCAACAAAACACATCAGCTTACGAATTCAACAATAGAATCCTCAGATTTGTGTCTTCTAACAAAAATTTTGAACATTTTTCTAAGCGGTGGAAGAAGTGGTAGAAGCTCGTCGTCGTTTGAATGCACTCCGCGTGAAGCACTTATCGCTGCAGTTAATCAACGCACGTTTTTAGATCCTGTAGAAAACACAATTTAGAGTAACACATGAGCGACAAAGAACGATGGACCGCTCAATATTGAACAATACCGATAACAATGCCTATACGGGTAATAATAACTTTTTTATTTACTGCCTGGTGTAATATTTCGTGGTAGGGTATTGCGTGTGAAAGAACCGCAGTGGGGCTGAGATATTTGCAAAACTCTGGTCCCCACGTGTTTGTGGTAGGGAACGATCGCGATATTGTCCTCTCCGGGAGTAGCGCGTTCATCACCACACTACGCGGGTCCTTCGTTTCGCCGGTCTTTCAGCTAGTTTTATTGGTCGGCGTCATCAGCAATCACCCTTCAGCGGGATTGATCTGGGGAGCCCAAATCGGCAAAAAACTCAGTTAAGCCGAGGTTGTAGTCTAAATCACAATGTTAACTTTTCCTTAACTTTTTTCAAGTCCTTTCGCGTTTCGTTTCGTTTCGATCCTCATACGGGTAATTCACGCATGCGATTCCATTCATAGCACCATAAAAGCGATTGATTTATAATTTTTGCCGCATGCATTGAATTCCGATATGCCACCGATGTACCAGGTCAAACATTCCATTCCACCTGACTTGGAATTTTTTTTGGTGATTTCTTGATTCCGTAGAGATGGAATTGCTGTACGCTTGGCGTAGCATTGAACCGAAGACCACGGCGGCATTGCAGCGCATCGCTAACCAATACATGCTTCACATTCCATCAATGAGATGGGATCCATCATTTTAGGTCGCATTTTAAAGGCAGTAAGAGCGTAAAAGACAAACCATCACTGGTGATTTAGTTACCAATTTATGGAACTCTACACATTTCACTTACATCTATGGAATCAAATCGAGTCATCTGCGTTGTTTCAGTTAGCTAAAAACTAAATTACAATAATTATTGTTACGAAGAAATACTTAAGTACAATATTTGTCCTTGAGGCGAAAGAATTTATGAAAAAGGCCAAACTCACTCCTTGCAGTCTCTCAACTTCCGTTCCAATGTTGACGATTGAATTCTGATCGGCATCATATACAACTTTTTTGATGCTCGTTGAAGGCACGTCTTCTAAGGCGTGAATCTAAACGTTAAACACCCTATAGCTGAACATCAAACAAACATTATTGTCTACGCTCTGTCTACGCTATTTCGCTTAGTACCCTGCCGCGAAATAATAGGCAGAAAATAAAAAGGTATAACATTGTGATTTCAACTACAGCCGTAGCTTAACTGGGTTCTATGCCGATTTGGGCGCTCCAGATCAATCCCGCTGACGGGTGATTGCTGTGGCAAAGTTCGATAGAAATAGCTGAGACAGGCGAAACGAAGGACCTGTATGGTGTGGTGGTGAACGCATTACTCCCCAGGAAGGACAATAGCGCGTTCGTTCCCCACTATAGAGACCTGCGGTCCAGAGTTTTGCAAAAATCTCAGCAACGCTGTGGTTGTATTATTGTCTACGGTTCGCACTAGTTCGATACATACCGACCGAAGCTTGTTTTTAACAGCTTACTCATTGCTCATCTATCGCAATGTTTGGAGGGATGATAACCTTGCAGAGTTGTAAAGAAATTTTGTTCCATCGCTTTAATGGTGAAGACCGCAACTCTGGTAGCCGAAAACACTAGAGATCCATTGAAGAACACCGTCCTGCCCTAATGGACGAGTTCTCACTTGCTCAATTTCGTTCGCGTTGGATTATTGCCGTGAAGCAAAAACAGTGAAAGAAGTACGTTTTATGAGCCCAAGAAAAGTGCCATCTCATCTTGATTGAAACTTGTTATTTCTTAAGCAGTAACTTTAAGGTTCTGATAGTTTTTATCTGAGTTCGTAAAGTTTTCTGTGATCTGAGGTTTATCGGTTGAACTTTGAAAACGGCCACTACATTCGCACCATTGCCTTGCTTTTAATTCATGTATGGTGACATATCTTTATGGTGGTTTATGAATGACGGAACAGTGCAAAAACATACCACATATCGAGGAAATGAAAACTGCATTACGAGCGGCCCTTTATCCTTGAATTTTTCCTTGTCTATTTGTGCGCTTTCTATTTCACGAGCTACCTAAATTTTTCTCTTATTCCGTTTGTGACAAATTTGATGGACCGATTTTTATCAGGCAAGAGCAAGTAAAGATTTTTTCTTTGTTTTAATTTATAAGGTTAGGTTTCCACTACTTTCTGGACCTTGTCGCTTGTTTCATTAGGTTTCATTGCCTCGCATTTGGTTTCCACAATGGTTTCTGGATTTCCGTCTGGGTTCGACTGCCACTTGAAGAACTTATCTTTTTCATCAGTGTTGTTAAATACTTCTTTAAGTGACTCCTTTAGGAATCCAGGGATATAAAGATGTTAAAAGGTTCGCAGCACCTTTCCAAGAGCACTAGTCTACCTTCTTGGTGGTGATTTGCTGACATCGGAGAGCTTGTGGATTTGGTTGGCAGGTGTGGATTCGAACCAGGGCTCACGCGTACATCAATGTGCTAGTTCGAGCAATATCGAACTAAGGATTTTAAATAGCAATCGATGTAGGTTTCCATGAACCAAATATTATAGTACTGGTTCTGAAAAGTTATTTGCTTAGTACATAAAGGCAATCAGCTGCCTTCTTTCAATTTTTTTCACCCTTTATAAATTTTCATTGTCGTTTCAGCTAAAATGCAGTGATCTTCACAGCGATTCCAGCTGCGATAAAAGCCGACATAGAATCAGGAAGAGCCACAAACCTCGGATTTCCTACGACGCTTGCGATTCTTTGAACGTCCTGAAGAAAAAAAATTAAGAAAAAAAGTGGAAAAAACTGAAAATGGTGTGGTATGCTCAAAACTACAAAGCTCCTATAGTCTCGTTTTACAAGAAACTTACTCGGATATCGATTGCAGCAAAAGTGCAGTAATATTATGACGAGGACCATTGTCGGTGTCAACGTCGAAAGAAGAACAAAGTAGATGCTTCAAAATGTCAGTGTTGTCAGGTAAGGCGAACAAATGCAATTGTAAATCTCATATCTATTAGGAATGATCTTTAATCTGTAAACTATCTTAATCCAGCTGTTGGTAAAGAATCTCAGGTTGCTTAGTGGAAGTGGAATAAACGAAAGCGAATGTACGTAATACCTTCCACATCTACGAAGGGAAGCCTCTTGCACATCGATTCTGCTGAAATCCTACGTTCCGTGGGTTAGAAAGTACGGAATTAATGGTAGGCCAAGTTCACCTCCAACAAATTGGCCTACCTAGGCAAGTTGTCAACGTTTAATACGAAAGGCTCAGCAAGTCATTTTGATTATTTTCCATACTAATAAAAAAAACAAGTGCTCTCATACAAAATTGCTGAGGATTGCTGTGCTTTCGAATGAGTCGTAGCCACTTCCGAATGTGACAGAGACGAAAGAAAGTCTTTCTGGCGTTTGTTCTGTCTAGTCATTTTATGGATGAGAGGACTTCAAGTGATAATGGTGAGACGTTTACTGGTAAAATGATCACTGCTTGAAAGGCTTAGTTCTTTATGGGACTGATGGTGGAGATGAAAGTGCTGCACTACTACTAAGGCGGGTCTTCGAGTCATGCAGAATCTAAAGGTGTTTTTTTACGACTTCATACTCAACTTGAGCTCGGGTCATCTGTTCACAATGAACAATCACCGTGGGATTATTGATTTCTCACTAATGTACTGCCTTATTACTCACATACGACTCACCCATACTCTCCTGAAGGAAATGGGGTGCTGTCGTCATCGTCGAAGTGCTGATCTTAATGAAGATATAAAAGGATGCGGTACAAAACTCTATTATGCATCTTAACCCTTTTATTCACTGCCTTTTTCTTTTTAATGGCATGGTATGTTGCGAAATATAACTCGCATATAATGCTGAGATATTTGCAAAACTCCGGACCGCAGGTGTATGCGGTGGGGAACGGACGGGCGCTGTTGTCCTTACCGTGGAGTAGCGCACTTCACCACCACACCATCCGGGTCATTCGCTTTGCCTGTCTCTCAGCTAGTTCTATCGATTTTTTGCCAACAGCAATCACCTGTCACCCGTTTATTATGGATATTTATTGGGATAGCACGGAGTTATATGAAGTTAGGTTTTGTCACCCACGTAAATTATAGGAATGTTGCTCCTAATGAATTAGCAAGGTTATAAAAAAGGGGGCATGTGGCGGAGTGGTCCAAGACGCTCTACAATACACTCGTCGAATCGATCCCGTGCCTATGGCCCGCCATGCCCTCCAACCTTCCGAGTCCCGAAAATTGGTACCAGACTTGTCTGGGAGATTAGCAGCACTGGCTGGATGCATCGGTAGACCATCGCGAGTCATTGTAAAGGCCAGATATGCATTCAATCAGCTCCAAACGATGCTTTATGAAGAGAATGCATGGCGTATCTCTAAGGGATTGATCAGCGCCTAGAGCTTTATCCTTCACTTTTTCTACACAAAAATGGCACGCGTAACCCTGTAGTTAGAGATGCCTTCGATAGACAGGTGGTCGCCATTCCTTCAAGCCCACTTCAGACTGGTCTAGGAGGATAGAAACACTGACTGGTGCATTAGTAATTAATTCACCACTTGATTGCATGAAGTCGAATTCATAGCACATCCATCGGCGATTGAACAACGCCGAATTCGTTGTGTAAAAAGGCTTCAACCTTGTTTTAGGGAGTGTTCGAATACAGTTTGAATTGGCTCCCCATAGCACCTTGGAACAGCTCTACTAAAGCATTCCCAAACGGCATTGTCGGCCTTTAGAGATTAGAGGCAATTTTTTCCGACGAGTCCGATATCAGTCTGACGACTCCAGAACGTGGGGAGCTTCGATTCCCTTGTGTGTACTGACTAATTTCTCATCTTCAACTTCTCGTCAAATCTCAGCAGTATAATATACTTTACTGGAAAGCATGCTTCATCTCTTACAACGTACAGCTTTTTATCTACTTTCTATTGATTCGTCACGGCTAGGTATTTTGTGAACTACAACCACACGTATAGGAGCACTCACCAGTTGCTATTTCTTGAAGTGAAGGACATGGAAGAATCGATAGCTGAACATATTGTTAACAATAAGTAATAGCAGTGTGTATGCGATTAAAAAAACATTACTGGCAGCATGTGGTGAAGGCGCGATGTTTACTAGTGTTTACGTGCCTAAACCTAAAACTTACAATTAGAAGATTCTCCACATGGAATGAACAAGTAGCCATCAACCTCCACTGGAGGTTGCTTGGATGAAATTGACGTAACTTGACGTTTGAGAAGTGTTTAGGTTTTGATAGTCTTCTTCATAACTGTCAGATAAGGAGTATTCAGTTGTTCAAAAATTTAGTGATATGACAAGGTAATGTTAATGATAAAAATTGCACTTGCTTGTCGTCTAGCTTAACCGTCTTTTTTCGCATGAATGAAGAAACCATGATATGTCTTTTCTAGGTTTCCATCGCGAGGATCGGTAGGACAGGACGCTGAAGTCGTGCTCTGCCGTTCCTTCTTATAGTTGGCAGAGTCGTTCTCGACGGGGACGACGTGCTTGTTATGTCAGAGCAGCTAAAGAATGTGAGCAATGGTCTTTGTATGGTGTAGCTTTAGCAGCTTATTCATTTCTACCCATCCCACTCTTTAACTACACTCATCATAGATCTGTAACGTTGCACTGACACGGATCTATTGGTGTTTTTCTGATTATATACCACCTCTTGGTTCCATAGAAGTATAAGAAATCGAGACCCATGATGATTCCTATGTGTACGAGAGTTTCAACGTTGGTTTGCTGAAGCAGCTAGTGTCCTCAATGTTCTTCCTATAGGAGGGAAGTGTTCTGAGCTAACTTACTGTGGAAGTGGCATCAAAAAATTTAGGGTATGGAACTGCTTTATGAATCACTTATTCGTTCTTTAATGGACTCGAAAGCAAACTTATTCCTAAAAGATTTCTCAACGTGCGATGCATTATACTTTAGCCATCATTGCTCATTACTCCTATTGATACTACTATTGTTAAAGGATCCGGTATCCGGAATTAAACCGGTGTGAGAACACTAGCTTCATTAGATCTTCTCGGGTTCTTCAAGGAGTGGTTCTCAAATGTCATAAACGGCATTTGCCAGTTGGAGTTAGACTAAGTTTGCACTCATACAGTGCAGTGGGTGGAGGGCTTTTTGGCCTTCGTGCAGCCATACTAATTCATTTTGTTTTCAATCATTTATTTCGCCGAACAGCAGTTGACGCTCTATTATTTCTAATTATTTGCTAATGCATCCAGTACAGAGCGGTGCAGCAGTAGTCGTACAAAAAAATTAATGCTTTTCGGACGAGTTCCATCGTCAGGTGTACAAAATAGCGACAGTATTACAGATGTGGAGAGCGCAAAGGTGTTTCCACTCTGCAAGGCGATTTACTATTACTTATGCCAACTAAGTGGCACAACGATTTTCCAATGAGACGTACGTGAAGGTGAGGTCGAGTGCCGTGAGTTGGTTTCAATTCACGGTGTGTGTACGAAAACTTTTGTGTACCTGTGTAAACTGTGTACGAAAAAACGGTTTCTTTTGAGTGCGCACATTTGGAAGGAAAACGATGATGGGACTCGAAATGTTAGTAGTCGGCTTCTTATTCTGGCCAAGCTTTTATTATTGCTCTTACTGTCTATGTGCCTCCTCACTTAGGAATTCCAGTTAGTTTATTGTGACGCTATGTGACTCATTCCTGTGTTGTGGTACATGTAGGGATAAACGCCGTCCAAGCAGAGACGATACTGTGTCAGCTATAAGGTACAGACAGTTGCATTGAATTGATAAGTTGCATTGGATTGATACTTCAAACGAGCACTATCCAACTCTTCGCTTCGGCTAGAAGCTGCAATAGAGTAATTAGAAAGTACCTAATTGAGAGATTTTCTGGGTTGATTCGAACAAGTGAGTCTCACGTTGAGAAAACCCTGGCACAGTGATTGTGATTAGTCCCCCAAACACTTATACCAAAGCCCTGCGAGTTTATGGGTGTTATTAAAAGCTTGATGACCTGACACGGAAACATGACTTTCTTCGTGCTCCTCGAGTCAACAAATCTCACTAGCTGATCGGCACTGGTATGTGACTGAGCGAATGAAGACTTTGCTATCATGAGTGGTTAGGGAAGAGAGAACCGCAGCAGTTGGTGACAGTGTATAGCACATGGATAGTCGCTGGTTCGACTCTGAACCTTAAAAACCCCAGCATTCTTCTGAGGTTGAAAAAGTGGTACAGGGCTTTCTGGAGAAAGCTCTTTTCAGTCAGTGAAGGCCAGCGACTCTGTTGAACTCCAGAGACGCTTCAGGAGAGCTATCGCAGAATTAGAAGGAGAATTGGGCTTTCATCGAAAATGCAAAATTGACCAGCGGCAACTCAATTTATCTCAATGAGCTAACCAGAATGTATGTAAAGCAGAAAACGTAGAATTAGCGCTAAGTGTAATGCAACTATTAGAATCACATAAGAAGATCGATTCAAACAGTGAACTTCATTGTATACAGAAATTGTCTGGTATCTTATTTCTTCTTGCGTTTACGTTGAAGATTGGAGAGGTGGTAGTATGGGGATCAGCCACCCTCTTTCTTGGAATTCTGGTTTGGACTACCTCTTGACTTTGTCAAACTACCGTTCTAAAAGAGTCAGATTTAGTTCACAAATTCACGGTTACTATCGTAGCTTGGCACAGAATAAAACCACCAGACATATCATTTATGCATTTTCTACACTGTCCAACTTTATCAAGGGATTTTGATGTAGAGAAAGCCTCAACGGTCGGTCCAGTAGTTATTCAAGTAATCCAGTGTGTTTTCTTTAATATTGTTTATTAATCGTCGTATTCTATTAAATCATTAGATTCAAAACAGCAAACGCCAAAGTAGCCATAGTTCAAGACGAGCCACTTGCTTCGACTTACTGAAAAAGTGTTTTTCAGACGAGTTTGTTGAACCATGGATATCTTTGCTTGTGGGGAGGTTGCAAAAATAGCTCGCTAGATAGAGTACTATGCACAGGAATTGTAAACTATATGAAGTCCCACAAGGACCCCTTGATTCTGTATCGATTGTGTAGTAAACAGACAATAACAAGTGTAAGAGTGCAAACTAGGTTATCTTTCTCATGATCGGGGAGGTATAGCGTACTTCAAACATTTGACTCAACGCATGGCGCGCAACCGAGCAAAAATTAAGCCTAGCAAGGAATCCCTGGTAGCGAGGAAAAAAAGATTATATCTGTATTTCGCATAGGTTGCTCACACAGAACTTACCACCTCGTTGTTCTAAAACACGATACAGAGCAAAATGCAAACAATGGGGTGAGAGAAAACTGTTTCCCTTTAAAAAAAAACATCACATTTCCAACTTCCGTCAACTTTTGCTGAGCTTTCTATTACTATAAACGTCGTCCTCATTTGATTCCATCGATTCATCTCAAAACTGTGATTTTGGTGACGGAGCTGGAGAAGTGCCGATGGAGGCAGAGGTGCTGGTGATGTTGGTGGTGGTAATTGAATAATTCCATCGCTCTTCACTGTAGTCGTCGTTCCTAATTTTGGCGTAGTAGTTGCGGCTGTAGTTGTTGATGTTGTTGCTGGCGTTGTTTGTAGTGGTAGTAATAGTTGTTGTGGTTGTCGTTGTTGTGGGTGTTGTAGAACTTGTTGCTGTTATTGAATCCGTTGTTGTTGTTTTCGTTGTCGAC